AATTACCGCGTATTAAAATATACTTTTTAAAATTTTTGTTCTAAATTTTGATTTAAATATTTATATTCTATACATGGAACGTATCTGTTCCATTTTCGTTTTTTTAGACCTGAGGATGGCCTGTTAATCAGGTTGAAAACGTTTGTGTTTAAAATATATTTCTCAGCAACAAATTAAGGTGTTTTAATTTATGTACCACATTTCGTTTCTTGTCTTTACCCATCCTGAGATATTAAGCGAAATAGACCGCAACACACAAAAACACACACATTTACATACATACATATCTAAGCAATTTTTTGTCTCTTGTTTCGAAGTTTTTAGACTTAAAACTTGGAGATTTGCAATAAACTGGAAGACTAAATTTTTATAAAGTAAAATTTAATATGATCAAATAATATTAAACAATGTGATGTTGTTAAAAAAACAGAAGTAACAAATCTATAACAAAGTTTACCTATAAACTTTGTATATGAAGCTAAAAAAGAAATTATTTTTTGAAACTTATTAAAATTTATTTTTTAATCTAAAAATCAAATATCTTTCCAGCATTGTTTTATGTAAATTATGAGATTTAACAATGCGATATATTTTAATTTCTTTCATTTTTGTTTTAAAAAATGTCTTCGAACTAAATTTTAGTTTTAATACAATTTAATAATAATTATGAAATATTTCTTCTAGATAAACGATGAAATTAAATTTGTTATCGTTGCAAAAGAACCAGAGTATTTTTTAAAATATTTGATTTTTGTAAACCTTTCGTAAGACATTCCATATGGACGCGATCTTCCAACTGAGTTTAAGCAATTTTCAAAAGTTCTATTATTATTTTTGATTCTTTTTGTTTTGTAACCACCAATGCAATATAAAAAATTCACAAAAGTAAAAAATATGTTTATATTTTTATTAAGAATTGTATACATTTTTTTAGATTATACCCAAATATTCCAGATAATAAGATAACCACCTAATAGATTCGGATTATTTCGAAAGATCAGTTAACGTTGACAGGACAAGGAAGAGATTAGAAATTACAACAGTTCCCCAGATATCCGACACGGAAAAACATCGATATTAATTTTCATGCTGCGAGCATAATACAAAATTGCTATACATGTTATATGTTTATTTTGTATATATTGTGTTATATTCCCTTATTTCTTAGATGTAGAAAGAGTAGAGGTCTCATACTTTTCCCCTCTTTTCTCTCACTTCCGGATATTTATACATTATTGATATCAAAATTCGGTTAATTTTCTTTATGTTGTGTTTCATTTCATTTATTTTTATTATACGTACTTTTTCTTATAACTTTTCTTGAAAACATATTCCTGCAGAAAATATGAAACTGGAATTTCGAAAAACATGTAACAGAATACTGCTCCAATAGTGGAAAAAAACATCACCAACAGGAATAGCATCCACTAAGAAAATATACAGATTTATTAATGTTTAATATAAATTTACTATATTTATTTGCTTAAATACATATATGTGTAAATACTGTAAATATAGCTTAAATTTAAAAGATATTACTTATTAAACAGCAAATCTAATATTTTATCTAAGAAAATACAATAATTGATTAAAAATGCCAGTGAAATAAAACATGGAAAACAATATAATTAGTAAATGTATTTGTTAGGACAACAATAATACGTATAGAAAATATAAAAAACTGTAACCGATGTCATTAAGTTCTTTCATATACCTCAAAAACATTTGTGTTTCTGAGATGTATAAAAAGACTTAATGAAGATGTTTACAGTTTCTTCTATTATTTAACTTTGCTCTGTTACTTTTGGACCATTCCTAAGTATGTGACACATATTCGATACTTTCAAATTTTTTTTTCGCTTATTTTTTTATTTAAATTTATTTTCTGCTTCAGATCAAATTGACACCATAGTGCTTTCAACGTTTACATATTAATGGTATTTTTTCGTATTCCACTGTTGTGTGACGTGCGTGGCATAATAATATGGCGAACCAAAGGGGACTTTCTCACGAAGATGTTCTGCAGTATTCAGGTGAGCTAAGTGGAGTAGACAGTGAAAATGTGCCTAACTTTGCAGAACATAGGAAAGACAAACGGCCAAAGTTCTTGAAGGAATTAGCCCTCGGTTTGATTTTTCCACATGTACTTCAATAATTGAAAGTGCAGCAGACGATGAAAGATGTCAAATAGGTCACTCGCAGTTTCTACATTGTACCAGAAGCACCCTCACCAGCCGCAAGCACTTCATATATTCATCCAGGTTAACGCAAGAAATGCTATATTTGTCCCAGGTTTATTGACCTGGGATAAATATAACATTTTTTGCTATGAAAACCAAATTACTCTGTAACGAGTGCAATAAGTTTGTATGAAAAGCATACAAAACAGTTGTGCAACAAATGCCAACAGTAACATTATGTCTACAGGACAGATAGCTTTGTGTAATATTATTTGAATTTAATAATACATCGCAATCCCATATTATCTCATTAAAAACTATTGTAATAAAGTGTTGTTATTTTGATCATATAGCAAATTTGTCATATGATGTCAAATTGAACATATGGTACCAAGAATGTGACTTTTATCATGGTACCAGAACAAGGTTAATAATATAATTGTTATCTTTCATGATCCGAAACATTAATCAAGTAAGTTGTTAAATCGAAACATTATTTAAAATTTTTAATAAGATTGATTGTTTTCTCACGATTATTCATAAATAATAGTGGGAAAAGGATTATTTATGGAAGAAAAAACTAAATCGGTGCGAGGGTTGAACCCGCAGCCTCTGCTTCTAAATTATTATAAATTATTTAATTAATTATTAAAAATTATAGTTATTATTCTAGTTAAGAAATAACGCCTAACGTCTATCTCTAGTGGCAAATTACCTTATATTAATTATTGGATTAATTATTTTAAATTAGACCAATTGTAGCCCGATCATTTAAAGAATCGTTGGATGGAGTAACGGTGATTTTAGTTTGTCAGAATTTATCTTGTGCATTTCCAATACCTTTTATGCAGAATGTAGAAATAACATTAATTTGTTCGATAAGTTTTTCTTTCTTTCTTTTTGTTTTCGTGGTTTTTTTGATATCAACCAGGAAAAAATTAATTTCTACACAAAAATGTATTTTAATGAAGTGATTAGTTTTAATTTCATTAAAAAAATTTTTGTCAATTAGAGGTAATTCGGAGTTTTATTTTAATACATTTGAAAACCTCAAATGCTGTTTTATTGTGAATCCACAATTCAGAACTGATTTCACATTGTTTTTGTTTTTAGACATTGTGTATTATGTATTGCAGACCTAATTATCTACAATTTGTTTGTTATTTTAGTTTGTTGTATTACTATTACTTTTTTCCTTGTACAATAGGAAGAAAACTTCTTCTGAAGTAAATAAATAAAAAGTAAATAACGTTGACTGCATAACTTAAACAACGTGATGTGAACAGTTTCCTCTATTGTTGTCATGTTGGAAAATAAAATACTAAATTTGATTAATTTTATTTACCGGAAATTTTGAATATTATGAAATAATACGTAAATAATGGATTAAAATTTAAATAAATTAAAGATAAAGTAAAAAATTCAAATGTCGAAATATATATTTTTCAAAAATTATAAAAACAGTTTTAGAAATAAACAGTCTTACCAAATTTATTACTGTAACTGAGTATGGGCTTCTAATTTTCCCAAAGACATAAAGAAAAACTACAGGATGCAGAAGATAAATCCAGAATACCAGTCGATCCATTACGACAAAGAAGTTGAAAGAGAGGAATTTGTTCAAGACACCTACAATATTTTAATATTATATTTATGTATAGAAATTATGTTAACAATGTTTATATACATAAATTATATCAATAATCTTATTAGTTGATAAAGGGGAGATTTACCCATTTCTATTTTTTCTATATACGATTGGGAAATATATTGTAGGACGTTGAGTGTTAATATATATGGCGTTTTATCACATGTTTAATTGGAAATGAACGCATCAGCAATGTCTGTAATTAAAAAACTTTCGAAAAACACATTTGCGTGCCCGTTTCTTTCTGAATTCAAAAGCGACAACAACGCTATGGAGGCTCACAATCTCATCTGGTAAGCGTTTGTTCAAGCCTCCATGGAAGACAGATGTCAATCACCTGTTTCAAAATACAAATAGCTGAAAATGGCAATAATGTGAGTTTGTTTGCTGTCATCATAATGGAACCGCTTCCAAACTATTAATACATCTCTGTTACAAATCAACTATTTTTTGAACTGCATCGTTTGAACACCGCCATCAAAATCATTACCCAAAAAACTGACAAAGTCCGATATGACCACGACAACACGGCAGCATATACAGCGAAGCTGATCTTAAAGAAGTTGGCTAATCTGTGTTGAGAAGATGTGCCTCATCCAGCTTACAGCCTAGAGTCTACGGCCAAGATTCTAGGCTGTAAGGTGTTATATCTATGGTATGTCTAGACCCTAGACATACCATAGACATAACAAGACCATATCAAGTATTTCCGGCCCACAGAGACATGTTGCCAATGTAGAGTTCAATGACAATACCCGACCTGCGAGACTTCATATAAAGAAACCCTAGAATTGTACTTTCAAGGGATTGGAAGTTTACGGTCAAGAAGCCGAGATATGGTTCATATTACTACCAGACTAAACTATTATTAAATTAACTGTCAATAAAATATTTGTTTTACCTTTTACAATGTCTAAATTTCACTTTACAACCTAATAAAATATTTAACAACTGTGAATATTTTTATCTATTTCTTATCCATATTACACATCATAAAATATACAAAGTCGATTCTTTCTTTTTATACTTGTTGAAATCCCGTACGAAAACACCCTAGCGTTTGTATTCATAGAATAAAAACCATGACATTACAATGCATGAGAAAACATTCACAATTTTCTTTCTATATTTCTTTACAGTCAGGTACAATATCAGATACAGCTATGAATAGTTTTGCTATAAAATAGCATTTACTCATTTTATCAAAGTTTCCATAAGTGTATAGAGAATTCATTCAATGCATCATGTTTTATTCGTGGACCATGTTAAAACGCTAATGTCCAGAAAACAATTTTAACTCTGTTCCTTAGAAACGTTACAAAGTTTTCACTCGACATTTATAAATTGCAACTAGAAAGAAACAGGAATGATTTTCTTACCCGCGCATTTTTGTAAGCCTATCTTTTGCAACTAAAATACTGGATCCTGTTTCTTTTGTATATTTTTTTTGCTGACAGAAAGCAATACCTAAAAGTTGCTAATTGTACAAGCTTTTTTTATCACTTTCTTGGATGCTGTATATAAAAGAGGAAAAGTACAGCGATGAATTAGAAAATAAACCCAAAGATTTTTACATTTTTGGACATACAACACTCTGAAACGTCGAGAAATACAAAAACATTTCGAAGTAATTTCCGTATGTTTGAATGTTATTGTTAATGTGACAATTTTTGTTTATTTTTTTAATGCTTAATAACTTCTGTTATTTTTATGGAAAATTTTTGAAAGTCCGCACGAGGTTTGCTTATTACAGGAATTGATGTTGTTAAATTGTGGTTACTAAAGGACGAAGGGATGGAGTAATAATGGGGATTGTGTGTACCTCGAGTAGGGTCAAACTTAATGACTATTTTCCGTTTAGAAAACTCATCACAACTTACACAAAATTAAGCTTTTTCCTATTTTATACAAGTGAAAAATATAAAAAATTTTATAGGAAATTTGATAAGGATGGCGCTACCAAAATTACAAATGTTTGCAGGCAAGTTGAGCAACTCTTTGTTGGTTTGTTTTTTGTAGGATATTGTTCACATGCTTTGTGAAATTTGTGATTACACGTTCGAACAAAAGTCCTATTCAAGTTCGTATACGTATATAAGCCTGTCAGTAAATTGTAAAACCAATATGTTGTTTAGTTTACTCAAAATTAACAATGTTTAACGGTCAATTTTTATTACGAACAAAGTAAATAGAATAAATAATCACGTTTTAAACAACTACTTCTACACATTTTAGTTTTCATTTTTACAAAAGTGCAATTTTCACTGTTAATTACTTATGAGACCATCATGAGAAAATTGTTCAATCTCTTTCTTTAAAAACGTTTCTACCATGGCGATGATTGTTAGTGTTTATGTAATATGTAGTTTATGTCTAACGTCTAACTCTAATGGATTTTAACGATTTACTTGAGTTTAATTTTGAGTGGTTGCGTTTAGATACGAAAAAGCTACGAAAAAGTTAATTTGAAAAAGGAGAAATTCAAAAAATGTATTATTAGCGAGGTTGAGGCCGAAGTTTTAAACAAGAAAACGTGTACGTCAGACGTTCAGCGTCGCTTTCATGTAAGCCTAGAAGTTTGACAATGGTGTTTGAATAGTTAATGCTCGACATTCCAAACACCATTGTCAAACTTCTAGGCTTACAGGAAAGCAGCGCTGAACGTCTGACGTACACGTTTTCTCGTTTAAAACTTCGGCCTCAACCTCGCTATTGTGTTGCGGCTATATACTCAGAAAGGCCATACATAGATGGTCTTCTTAAAATAGCAATTCGTCAGTTTTGAAGAAACAAAGAAAATTATGCACAAAACAAGAGATGTCGTTAAAAGACGTCAATCTCCTCGCGGAATTACAGACGTGTATTTCGTTTTAAAATTTAACAGAGCATGTCCATATGAGAAATTTTATGTGAAAGTGTAGCAATAGTTATACGTGTAACTGAAAAACGTTATGGAGAAAGAAGAACGAAAGTCACATAACAGTAAAACGTAAGCCGAAATTGACTGAGCTACATAAATATCCAAGATTAGAATCGGGTAAGAAGTATATATTTTGCACAAAAGAGTGCAAAGATGTGATATTTTTAGAAGAAAAGGAGTTTAATCTTGTTGGTCTAAATCAGCGTTTCTCTAAGTGGGCAATAACGCCCCCTTGTGGGAGATGAGTAAATCTAAAGGGGCGCTGGAGGCAGGGTATTAAACGGTGACCAAAGGCAAAATTAGCATCACTGAAAGCCGTTACCTTTCCTCTGTTAAACTGATAAGAGGAAACATTGCATTTAATGGTTTCCAGATGTTGAGAACAATGTACTGTAAGGGCACAAAGTGTGAGATTCATAGAAAAGTTTTCCTAAGAATATTTCCAATCCTTTCTCACACAAAAGAAAATGGGTTAGGGGGCGTTGGGTATAACTTTATGGAACAAAGGGGGCGGTGGATCGAAAAAGTTTGGGAATTAGTGGTCTAGATAGAAATAATGCATATTGACATTTTTCTTCCGGTTACATAAAGAATTTTTTAGTAATTAAATGGATGAAGGTTCTGCCACAGCTTAGGAAGCATTCTCATATGATGATAAACTTGTTTGTTAAACTTTGCATTAAATAAATATCCAGAAAAATATCAGCTGTTATTAAAAAAAACATTTGTTCCCACATAGATAATATTTTAAAAGAAACAAATAGTATTATTAAAAAAACAATGCTTCCTGACATAACTTCAAGACAATTCAAGACTGACTTAGATTAATGTTTACCTTAGCCATTGAGAAATTCCATTGAAAACTTTTAAGGTATTTAAAGTCAGAGCGTAATCTCAAGCAATCGCCAATTTTCACTGGTTCAAGAACTTGAATGATAAATTACACACTAATGGAATAATATTGACAACGATATATTGAAAAACTCGATAAACCAATACCAAATAAGCTGTTTGGATTCATACGAAAAATTAAGCAACAATCAACTATAATTGAAAAAAGTTACTTTTGAATCTATTTTTATGATGGTCACATAATGTATTGACAGTGAAAATTTGACTTTTGTAAAACTATTAATAAAAATGTGTTAAAGTTGTTGAACTAATTGTTCAAAATGTGATTAATACTTGTATTTATTTTATTGAGAATAATAATTGACCATTAATCATTGTTAATTTTCAGAAAACTTATGATATGAAGTCTTATACTTTATTAACAAACTATATTCAATTAAATTATTTTCTGTATTTTATGCTCTTATATTTAGTGAAATCTATTCAGCATGCGTAAGCTGATTTTTCAAAAAGACAAAACATGTTTTGGCTGTGAATGTGTATGTAGAAAATTTATATCATTGGCACGACTACTAAACATAACTTTTAAAAATATGTATATTTCGTACTTATTTCCAAAACGAAATATATATATTTGCAATGATAATAACCTGACGAACCAAAATTTTGATATGCTACGTGTATTTATGGGATGTGATATTCGCGGTCACAAATCGCCGTGAAAAGTCTACTTATAGATTGAGTTTCTGATTCTCAGCTCTCTACTTATATGATCTCTACGACAATTTATTAAATTTAAATTTGGATCAGTTTTTTCACTGTTTTTCATACAATATTCGTTTTCTAAGCAATGGAGATCAGTTTCTTACTACTTAGTTTTTGATGAACCAATGCAGCTGCACACATCTGCCGATCAATGGCAAAGGCAGTAGTTCTATTGCTTCCGCTATTAATTAAGATGAAAAACAATTTACCTAAGATGATTTATTATGAATTTGAAGTAAGAGACATTTTTAATTTTCTGCGTTTTATTTTAGTTTAGTAGATCTTTGTAAACATTATTTAATTCTCCTTTTATTTTTATTATATAAGAAGCACTAAAAATTACAATAGAATTTCCTTGCAATACATAAGATTATCAACATACCTCCATATCCTGAAATGCATGCTACACATATCCAAGCTGTTAAAGCTGTCCATGCAATCGGAGAAAGAATCTGATGTGCCATAATTAACGATTCATTTGGAGGAAAGTCGTTTTTGCAACTATGCAAACCGAAAAACAGCAATCCCAACAGAAAAATCATCGAAATCCAACATGAAATAAATATCTCCTGGAAAAAAATTTAAAATTTCTTTCATTATCGTGTAGCCGTATTTTGTTGAGTTTTATTTCTGTAATCTATCCATTATTATGTGTAGTATTTCAAACTGCCAAATGAAATATCCATTAATTTAAAAACGTACAATTTATAATTCAGTTTATTTTTCTACGTATGTATTGCATTGTTTGCATAAGCATTACGGGTCGACGTAAATTTTCTTTTTGCCACTGCTATATATACATCACTTTCTCTCATAATTTTACTGTAAAAATTATATATACCAACTTAATGACTATTCACAATTTGTGCGTGTTTTTATAAAAAAAAAAACAATTATAGGTAGAAATTCAATTGCGGGTATAATAGTAAGTTTATAGCTGATTACTGATGAATTAGGTTTTAATATGGTGTGCTTCTCTTCCCTTAGTATAACAAGTGCTAGTTCACAAGAATGTCCGTAGACACAAGCATAATTAACATAAAAATTTTTTACATATTATAAGTTGTACTGTCCTACAATCCTAATGAGATTCAAAAGTATATAAAAATGAGTAATACTATGTTAATAATTTAGTTAACTCTGTATGTAAAGTACTGTAGTATTAATATATATGATATTATGTTAATAGTATAAAACTGGATAAGTACTTGTACCCGGAATTTACTTGTAATTGTTCTTTTTAAAAGCACATATAAATGAAAAGTAGTCAGCAAATTGAAATTTATAATTTCCACAGTAAATTATAATGAGAGGAAAATTAAATAATAAATTATACGGTGATAAACGAACGGATATTTCGTTTGACTGTTTGAAATAATGAAACTGGCAATGAAAAGTTTATACAGTTAATTAAAACACATAGATTTTAAAATCAATTTTAAAATTTATCATGTTTCATATTCAATCATAAAAAAGAAATTATTATCAATGTAAAAATTATTTAAATATTATTATTACTTTCTATTGTTACTTAAACTTTATCCGCGATTCCCAGTAGAATAATTTTCTAAATGTACTTTATTATTAACGATATTATTAGAGCCATTCATGCCAAATAACGCTATAACGTTATCATGCATAAGAATATCAGAAACTGAAGTTCTTGGGTGTACAATTAAAATATGGGATACTGAAAAGGCTTGTATAAGAGTTTTTTTTAATATTATTTATTATAAATCCAATAATCAATTCTCAATTAAGTCAGCCTGCAAGTATTGAGAAGGAAGGAAAATGACAAAATTTATTCGAAAGTTTGCATTAAATTTCAATCCACGTACCGATACAAGTATAGAATTATAACCTCGCTTATTGTCTGGCATTATAAATATTCGCTACACATTATTACCTTCTTACTAAATATAACCAAGTGTGAAACAAATATTTAAACTAACTGTTTGTGAAATACTATATTTACAGTATTCAATGGATTTCAAATATATCTGTAACAAAATTAAATTTACTTCTATTTATTTATGAAATTTATTCATGACACGTATAAAAGTGAAGATAATAATACGTAAAACTCTTGTAAATTTCGTTGAATAGCAACGCTTCATAATTAAATTAACATTAATATATGGTTACTTTAAACAATCATCGAGAAAAAAACTGTACATGTCGATAAAAAGTTTACAGAGTAAACCAGCAAATATTATATAATTCTATACTTAAAAGTTATTTACATTATTTTTACTACTGATACACATACAAAGGAATAAACTAACTTACTTTTTACTGCTTTCTAAAAATATTTATTTAATTAGAAACAAATGAATATTATCTGAGATTTGTTGTATTAATATTAAATAAAATATTCAAAATATTTAGAAATTACATGACACAAATAATAACTTGAGAACAGGATAATTCTGTGAGCTTTGATACGGATTAAGAAAGTTTTACTTCATACTTGTGCTGGCCCGTGGTGTAGGCACGTTTCACAAAATTTTTTAGAACATTCTACTAATAACGTTGGATGTACTGTTACTTGTAATAACAGTGTATATAATGCTTTTTATATCGCTGAGAATATCTCGTAAGACATGAAATTATCTCTATTTGTTGTTGAGTTATTCAACAATATCAATAAAAATATAAATAAATAAGAAAGAGTTAATCTTTTAATCACACGATTATAAGTTAATATCAATTAACTAAAATCTACCAAAGTTACAAAGAGCGTTGATTTTTATAAGTGCATATTATATTTCAAACACTAAAAATGTAATAATTATGTCATATATCATCACAAAAATCACCTCTAAATATTAAAATTTAATACTGTACATTAAGTATTATTAATGGTAAAAAAAACATGTCGTTTTTGATTTACTGTACTTATTTAACCCCTGTTTTATGCAATTCTTTATATCCAAGATTTAAATAATTATAAGTAAATAGTCAGAATTATAACAATAGTTATTTCTAACATACCTTTCTGAATTGCAGTTGTTTCTTTCTAAGCAAATAGTTTCCTACTAATAAGCCCGAACAATAAGAACTCATGTGCAAAAAATAAGGTTTCACATAGATATTTACTAGGAAATTGTTAAGTTTTCTGCAAAAAAAATTCACAATACAAAACAATTTTTATATAACAAATGTTTTCACAGCGATATGTACTGCAAATTAATATACATTGTCTACACTGTATAACTATGTAAAAACTTAATGTATCAATAATATAGTCCTGTATCATTTCAATTATCATCAAAAAATCATTACTTTAAAAATTTCTGAAATAATCAATATTCAACAAAATAATTAAGTAAAAATTCATAATAATTTTAATTTATGAATTACTATTTTAATTATAACACATATCTTATAAAAAGCAATGTGTATTATATTAAAAAAAACCTAATTAATTTCTTTGTATTATCAAATATTATAACACACTTTCTGGGAGTGTGGCAAAAACATATCAGCTTGTTAAAAATTAAAAATACTTCAACTGAAATTGCTCGAAATGTGTATTTTATAAAAATGTAAAACATCTTTAATGAAATACAAGTTATTTTATATTGCAGCATGTTTTGTAAAAAATAATTAAACATCTTTTGACTAATTGGTTTAATATACCGGAATAAAGTAGAATATATGAGTGCAAAGTTTTCCTATTACAGATAGCCAGATTCGCAATAATATGACTTTGCATGATTACAAGATAACCATCAACATGGGTTATCTGCATAAACAAAGATTAACCATAAGATACGGATAAGATTACAACGCTGCATCTTGACTTAATTAATATTAAAAATTTAGATATAAAATAATTTTTTAGTTAAACTAGGTTTATGATTCCGGACATGATGCGATAAATAAGTCGACCTGTCTGACATATTTTTTGCCTCTATATTAAGAAAGTTTTATTACTAATTCACACAGCACCGTGTCACTTATTTTATTAACTATACCAATTTGATTATATTTAATGAAGAAATTTAATTTACAAAACATACTCAAGATCTATTGCTAAACTCAAGATCGTGGCGTATTTCTTATATAGTGAATAACAAACGTGTGAGATGATTCCTGCCACCGTCAATATACATAGTAATATAGTTCCAAATGTCGGCCATCTGCAATAAAAACAATTAAAATAGAAATGTTCTAAAATGATATTTTTAATAACTTCAATTAAATATGATTATTTAGAGTTTATTTTTGATACAATACTATATTACAATATTAATATTAGTTATTGTAGCCTAATAATAATATTACAATAACTAAAGTGCATACGTGAATTTATATTAGTAGTNTCACTTATCGGTTTGTATAAAGTTTCATTTTTAAAGCGTTTTAATTTATTTTTGTGTTTTTCATTATATAATTTATGAGTTCTTGGATTGTTGCTAAAATCAAACTTATCCAGAGATGATTTAAAGTCATAATAAACATTATTTGTGTAAATTTCAAGTGTTAGTGAATCAGTATCAGTGTATTAATAAATATGAGTTCTTAGATTGTTGCTAAAATCAAAATTATCCAGAGAAGATTTAAAGTCATCATAAACATTATTTGTGTAAATTTCAAGTGTTAGTGAATCAGTATCAGTGTATTAATAAATATACATTTTATCTTATCTATTTCTAAATATTATATAAAGTGTTTGTAATTTGCTCAATTTAAATGTAAATCATAGCCTGTAAAATTATTTACTACAATTTTACAGGTTATGATTCTCATTTGATTTTCAAAAGCATAGTTTTAAACTTTCTTCAAAAATTAGCATTATTCCTGTAAATTCAAAAAAAAAAAAATACATTTACTTTAGATTACTTTAAATTTATTGACAGTTATGAATTTTTTAATATTTCCTTGTCTATATACACTGAAAATTTGTAAAAATTGTAATTTTCTAAATTTTGCTATTTTATTCCAATCGAGATTTTTTGTAAAATTTTTCACAAATTCTTTGTCTAATATTTCATGTTCTGAAATTAAGCTTTGTAAAGAATAACTGTACTAATTTTTTTCTATTTTAAACCAAATTTTTAGTATTAATAAAAAATAAAAGATTATTTTAAAAAAGAATTATTTAATATTCTTATTTTAAACATAAAAATATTTTATACTAGACATGTTTAAAATTTTTTAAAATGGTTTATAATAAATTATAATGGAAAAACATTACTTACGATAATTACAATCATGCTATATTAATTTGAAAAAATTTAATTGTAAAATTTATAAAGATTATTTTAAATTAACAATACATTGAAAAGTTATTATTAGCTAATATTTTTGAAAATTTTAAATAACTGTGTGTAAAATATTATAGATGAGATTCTGTATGTTTTATAACAGCTTCGGATTTAACGTGGAATAGTGTATTAAAAACGACGAAATTAGAATTGTTTAACGATGTTAATACCTGTATATACTTATTTCTTTACACTGGAACGAAAAGGAAAAATAAGTTTAAAAGAAAACACATTTGCAAAGGCAATTAACCCCCTAATTCCAGAAACTTATAATAAAAGTCAGTGTTATAATTATATTCTTTCCATAGATGCAAATAATCTTTACACAGTTTACACTCTCACATCTCATGTACATGGACGACATAAAACTTTATGTATCCACACAAAAACAACTTCATCAACTCTTACAAATCACACATTCGTACACCAAGGACATACAAATGGAGTTTGGCCTAGAAAAATGCAAAAAACTTTACATAGAAAAAGGAATCCTGAAAAAAGAAGATTTTGCACTTAAAAATGGAGACGTTATTAAATCCATGAAAGAGGGTGAGTTCTACAAGTACTTAGGATTCCAACAGGCCAAACTAACAGAACATACACAAATAAAGCAACGATTAATTAAAGAATACCAAAGTAGGTTAAACGCTATACTTAGAACACAGTTAAATGCAAAACACACAGTTAAAGCAATAAACACATATGTNTGTATTGATTTTCAAAACTATAAATAAGAACACATTTTTGGTTTTAATAAACAAAATTCACTTATCGGTTTGTATAAAGTTTCATTTTTAAAGCGTTTTAATTTATTTTTGTGTTTTTCATTATATAATTTATGAGTTCTTGGATTGTTGCTAAAATCAAACTTATCCAGAGATGATTTAAAGTCATCATAAACATTATTTGTGTAAATTTCAAGTGTTAGTGAATCAGTATCAGTGTATTAATAAATATACATTTTATCTTATCTATTTCTAAATATTATATAAAGTGTTTGTAATTTGCTCAATTTAAATGTAAATCATAGCCTGTAAAATTATTTACTACAATTTTACAGGTTATGATTCTCATTTGATTTTCAAAAGCATAGTTTTAAACTTTCTTCAAAAATTAGCATTATTCCTGTAAATTCAAAAAAAAAAAAAATACATTTACTTTAGATTACTTTAAATTTATTGACAGTTATGAATTTTTTAATATTTCCTTGTCTATATACACTGAAAATTTGTAAAAATTGTAATTTTCTAAATTTTGCTATTTTATTCCAATCGAGATTTTTTGTAAAATTTTTCACAAATTCTTTGTCTAATATTTCATGTTCTGAAATTAAGCTTTGTAAAGAATAACTGTACTAATTTTTTTCTATTTTAAACCAAATTTTTAGTATTAATAAAAAATAAAAGATTATTTTAAAAAAGAATTATTTAATATTCTTATTTTAAACATAAAAATATTTTATACTAGACATGTTTAAAATTTTTTAAAATGGTTTATAATAAATTATAATGGAAAAACATTACTTACGATAATTACAATCATGCTATATTAATTTGAAAAAATTTAATTGTAAAATTTATAAAGATTATTTTAAATTAACAATACATTGAAAAGTTATTATTAGCTAATATTTTTGAAAATTTTAAATAACTGTGTGTAAAATATTATAGATGAGATTCTGTATGTTTTATAACAGCTTCGGATTTAACGTGGAATAGTGTATTAAAAACGACGAAATTAGAATTGTTTAACGATGTTAATACCTGTATATACTTATTTCTTTACACTGGAACGAAAAGGAAAAATAAGTTTAAAAGAAAACACATTTGCAAAGGCAATTAACCCCCTAATTCCAGAAACTTATAATAAAAGTCAGTGTTATAATTATATTCTTTCCATAGATGCAAATAATCTTTACACAGTTTACACTCTCACATCTCATGTACATGGACGACATAAAACTTTATGTATCCACACAAAAACAACTTCATCAACTCTTACAAATCACACATTCGTACACCAAGGACATACAAATGGAGTTTGGCCTAGAAAAATGCAAAAAACTTTACATAGAAAAAGGAATCCTGAAAAAAGAAGATTTTGCACTTAAAAATGGAGACGTTATTGAATCCATGGAAGAGGGCGAGTTCTACAAGTACTTAGGATTCCAACAGGCCAAACTAACAGAACATACACAAATAAAGCAACGATTAATTAAAGAATACCAAAGTAGGTTAAACGCTATACTTAGAACACAGTTAAATGCAAAACACACAGTTAAAGCAATAAACACATATGTCATCCCAGTACTCACATACTCTTTTGGAGTTATACATTGGACTCACACAGATCTCGAGCAACTCCAAAGGAAAACAAGAACAACACTTACTAAGCATAAACAACATCATCCTAAATCCGCCACAGAAAGATTAACCCTTCCACGTAAAGAAGGCGGACGTGGCCTGATTGACATAGTTAACCTTCACTACAAACAAATACAGTCACTGCGAGAGTTTTTCTACAAGAAACAAGAAACATCACAGTTACATAAAGCAGTAACTCTAGCAGACTCAAATAACACACCATTAAACTTACACTCACAACATACAGACATGACACAACATATAAAAAGCATAGACAACATTAAGCAATCATGGGCTCAAAAGGCTCTCCATGGCAGGCATCCTTACGACCTGGCCCAGGATTTTGTTGACAAAACTGCGTCAAACAGCTGGTTAGATCGGGGATGCCTCTTTGGGGAGACGGAAGGATTCATGATTGCCATACAGGATCAGGTCATAAATACTAAAAACTACAGAAAACACATACTCAAAGATACAACACTCACAAATGACACATGCAGAAAATGTCACATCATGCCAGAAACTATACAACACATCACTTCTGGTTGCAAGCTCTTGGCACAGACAGATTACTTACATAGACACAATCAAGTAGCAAATATAATACACCAAGAGCTTGCAAAGAAACACAAATTGGCAGACATCCACGAACCATACTACAAGTATATTCCACAGACAGTATTGGAAAATAACACGCACAAAATGTATTACGACAGAGCCATAATCACAGATAAAACAATTTACCACAACAGACCAGACATCACACTCATTGACAAACACAATAAAATCACATACATTATAGACATAGCCATTCCAAACACTCACAATGTACAAAACACATGCACTGAAAAAATTAGCAAGTACACAGAACTCGCCCAGGAAATAAGGCATCTGTGGAGGATGGATAGGGTGCTTATTGTACCTGTTGTTCTCTCCTGTACAGGTGTGATACCACACACACTACACAAAAGCCTGGGAACATTAGAATTGAGTAGAAATACATACATAACACTACAGAAGGCCACTATATTGAATACATGCCACATTGTTAGGAAATTCCTGAATACAGACACTGACACACTTATTTAATTTTAGTTTTGTTTTGGTTGCTATCCCTTGACTCTGGTCCGGCATAGTACACAGCCACCGGTGTGAACCGAATAAAACCCACTAAACCCAACATAATAATAAATTAATTCCTGCTCTTTTTAACAAACAAAATTATGTAATACACTATGGAAATTTAAACTTTTATCTAAAAGAAAGTTTAATATTAATTAACCATAATTTTATAGAGTACTAGCACTTAATCAAGATGTCTGGCTTGAAAAATATGTAGTTTTAACCATATTAAAAAAACAGGAATCGACAGATGATATTGATAAGTCTTTTTTAAATAAATGAATAATAGCTTCTTCGGTAAAACTTGTCAAAATGTAAGAAAACATTTTAATTTTAAAAATTGCTATGACCTTGAATCAATGTCTCACGTATCTGTCAACAACC